CTGCTATGGTTGCTTGCACAAGATCCTGGACCTTCCTCGTTTAGCATATTAAACGCGCTGAAATTGCTTTCAAGGTCAATATTTATATATATAGGACTTGAATTTCAACATTGTATTGTATATTGGGATATACAACATTGTATATTACAACATTGTATTGTATATTGGGATAATTTAGCACTGTTAATCTTGGATGTTAGGCTATAACGCAATTGTTTACAAACTAATTTTTATCCACTGCATCCATAGACGATTTATTTTTGGTTTACCTATAGCCCCTCCCCCCTATCCCCCCAAAAGTATATAAATATGGGGGGTTGCAAGTGTGATCTTAGCGTGTAACATCAAAATAACGCAGTTCAAAATGCCATCAATCATAGGAAAATCACATTCAATATTCCGTCCCGCCAACAGTATTTGGTGGAGGCGGCGCCAGCTGACGTTATTGTTCTGCCTCTGATCTAATACCAAGACGAGGCTTTGTGTTATATTGGCCATGTTGAGCCCTGTTGTGTTGCTGGCCATGTTGAGCACTGCTGTGTTGCTGGCCATGTTGAGCACTGCTGTGTGGCTGGCCATGTTGAGTCCTGCTGTGTGGCTGGCCATGTTGAGTCCTGTTGTGTTGCTGGCCATGTTGAGCACTGCTATGTTGCTGGCCATGTTGAGCACTGCTGTGTTGCTGGCCATGTTGAGCACTGCTATGTTGCTGGCCATGTTGAGCACTGCTATGTTGCTGGCCATGTTGAGTCCTGCTGTGTGGCTGGCCATGTTGAGCACTGCTGTGTGGCTGGCCATGTTGAGCACTGCTATGTTGCTGGCCATGTTGAGCACTGCTGTGTGGCTGGCCATGTTGAGCACTGCTATGTGGCTGGCCATGTTGAGCACTGCTGTGTTGCTGGCCATGTTGAGCCCTGCTATGTTGCTGGCCATGTTGAGTCCTGCTATGTTGCTGGCCATGTTGAGTCCTGCTATGTTGCTGGCCATGTTGAGTCCTGCTGTGTGGCTGGCCATGTTGAGCACTGCTGTGTGGCTGGCCATGTTGAGCACTGCTATGTTGCTGGCCATGTTGAGCACTGCTGTGTGGCTGGCCATGTTGAGCACTGCTATGTGGCTGGCCATGTTGAGCACTGCTGTGTTGCTGGCCATGTTGAGCCCTGCTATGTTGCTGGCCATGTTGAGTCCTGCTATGTTGCTGGCCATGTTGAGTCCTGCTATGTTGCTGGCCATGTTGAGTCCTGCTATGTTGCTGGCCATGTTGAGTCCTGCTATGTTGCTGGCCATGTTGAGCACTGCTGTGTGGCTGGCCATGTTGAGCACTGCTGTGTGGCTGGCCATGTTGAGCACTGCTGTGTGGCTGGCCATGTTGAGCACTGCTGTGTTGCTGGCCATGTTGAGCACTGCTGTGTTGCTAGCCATATTGAGCACTGCTATGTTGCTGGCCATGTTGAGCACTGCTGTGTTGCTAGCCATATTGAGCACTGCTATGTTGCTGGCCATGTCTACCGGTTATCAATCTTACCGGTAACATTTTATCTAATACCGATCATAATACTATCCTTCTATATTACATATCGCTGTTACTGATTACAATTACTACAATAATGTTGAAATGTCTCTCCAAACTGGCCGAATAATTTATCAGGAGTGAGCTAAGTTTCAGTACATGTGTGACCGTGTAGCCTCGTGCATGCCTATTGGTATGAATAGTCGACGATAGTAGTCATTATTTCTCCTATATTAAGGGGCAGATGGTGGAAATTCTTACATTACGGGAGACATTGTTCGTTACTAAGATGTTCTTAGAAGATCTGCGATTGAATGTCTGCAAGGTAGGCTATCCCAGCACTCTGGCTCTATTAAGCAATGTCAATTATATAAAATATGTATAAATGTAGTATTTTCCCTTGTGAATTGATGTAAATATAACCTTTATATTGTATATTATTTAATAAAGAAAAACATTAAACAATGCCTCACTGGATTCATATATCGAGGCCGCCGACTACAATACACACTTGTACCTTAAAAACAAAATATAACTTGACATATACCACATATGTACTTATTAATCAGCCAAATAGTGACTACAAGCAATAAGTTATATATGTACTGTCTTGTGCGGGAGCGGGTTGCAACCCACACACACCGAGGAGTAGTGTGAGTATGTAGTAAGGGGACTAGAGACATGATCATGCCGTGCAAGATACTAAAATGGATAAAAAGTGATGATCTGGAAGCGTCATTTCTAGACAACGTACAAATAGAGCGAGGAAGCACAAGTGAGAGGTGGAGACACACATAAGTGAGAAAGGCAAGAGACTGTGAATTACGAGGCAGTGGTAGGCTGTAAGTGTAGAGATGTCCGCTTGTAGTAGTAATGTATTCTCTATTTCATCCATACTCTATAAACAAACCTATCCCAACCTATCTCAGGCTATCCCACCCCAACGTATCTCAACCTGTGACCAAGTGATCACATGTGTAATATTACAGTTTTAGCATGAACTTTACAGTGAAATCTCGTACACGTAATCTCCTCCTGGCCTGCGTTACTTTCACTGCATCGACGGTGTTGGCGGTGGAGGGGAGACCACTGTGAACCCTCTCTGACCTCATGTTTACAACCACTTGATCCGGGTGACCAAATGCCATGATAATATCCGTTTCCTATGCATCGGACTCAATAGATTTGGTGGTAAGGTTATTATAAGGAGAAAGCGCTAAGGCATTATGACTATATAACACTGGGAAGGGGTCAGGATAAGGATTTGGGATGGGACAGAGGGGGTAGGGGGAACGGAATGCTGCCCAACCGCTTGTGGACGGTCGGGGATTGAACACCGACCTGCATGAAGCGAGACCGTCGCTCTACCGTCCACTCCTGTGTACACACACACGTGGTCCTGTGTACTGGACACTACACCCCCACAGAGAAGGGTGAACCAGGGACGTGTAACAACAATTTGTCAGTGTAAACAGGATACGCATGACGAGTTGTGTTATATTATTCACCACCAGGACCCGTTGGCTGACTCACCTCCCACCACTGCCATGATAACACTACACTGACGCCTCCTCCACTACACCCACAGCCCTCAACACTACACTGACGCCTCCTCCACTACACCCACAGCCCTCAACACTACACTGACGCCTCCTCCACTACACCCACAGCCCTCAACACTACACTGACGCCTCCTCCACTACACCCACAGCCCTCAACACTACACTGACGCCTCCTCCACTACACCCACAGCCTTCAACACTACACTGACGCCTCCTCCACTACACCCACAGCCCTCAACACTACACTGACGCCTCCTCCACTACACCCACAGCCCTCAACACTACACTGACGCCTCCTCCACTACACCCACAGCCCTCAACACTACACTGACGCCTCCTCCACTACACCCACAGCCCTCAACACTACACTGACGCCTCCTCCACTACACCCACAGCCCTCAACACTACACTGACGCCTCCTCCACTACACCCACAGCCTTCAACACTACACTGACGCCTCCTCCACTACACCCACAGCCCTCAACACTACACTGACGCCTCCTCCACTACACCCACAGCCCTCAACACTACACTGACGCCTCCTCCACTACACCCACAGCCCTCAACACTACACTGATGCCTCCTCCACTACACCCACAGCCTTCAACACTACACTGACGCCTCAGAAAATAACTACGAGGGACCTGGTTCGATGCTTGGTACAAGACCAACCAGCCTCTGGAGGGTTATTAAGACCACCACAACAGCTTATACTGACCACTCAGCAAGTATACTTTACCCCTCAGCATACCCCATCATTCAACTATGTATATACAACAAGCGGGTAACCCTCTCGCTGTATATATTTCCAGAAGGACTAAACATGCTTAAAGCTAACAGATAACATATATATACCTCAGATCGTCACAGATAACAGGAAAATAATATATTCTCAGAAATGTACACCACACCATTTCAAAACACAAGCTTCATGTTCCTGCAACACCACATTCTGAATGTAGAGTGAAGAACTGAGTGAATGTAGAGTGAAGAACAGAGTGTAATGTCGAGTGAAGAACTGAATTGCTGCAAGAATTGTCAGTGAATGCTTGGCCAACGAGGCATTGAATACATATCTTTTGTAATATGTATGTATGCCAGAGGTTCCCAATAGGCTACAGCTTATACTTTTGTAATATATATGTATTCCAGAGGTGGCCATAGACTAGAGGCTATTTTTTTTTATCTTTATTTAATAAAATAAATTATAAATCATATATACATAAATTTTACGAGGCAATACTACATTACATATACAGAAGTATAATTCTCATTTAACAAGTATTTCCTATTATCACAGAGCATGAATTTAAACCCGTCACTTATATTTATTATTCTTTAAATGATTTACAATTTTAGAGATTATATTTACATTATTTTACAGGGTAAATTATTAGTTATATATTTTTTTACAGCCTATTGGCTTACTTGACTACAGTAAAGCTGGATAATTTACCCTAATAACCAATAGCTTTTTGTTTTGTAGGCAAATTAGTTTACCTAATGAGTACAAAATGTTAATTATAGTATAGTTTTATGTAATAAGGCATCACCTCATGATGAGTAAATGAGCATTGGAGACAAGCACTCACCTCATGATGAAGCAGAATGAGATACAGGCACTCATCTCATGATGAATCAGTATGAGATAAAGGCACTCATCTCATGATGAATCAGTATGAGATACAGGCACTCATCTCATGATGAATCAGTATGAGATACAGGCACTCATCTCATGATGAATCAGTATGAGATACAGGCACTCACCTCATCATGAATCAATATGAGATACAGGCACTCACCTCATCATGAATCAGCATGAGATACAGGCACTCACCTCATGATGAATCAGTATGATACAGGCACTCACCTCATGATGAATGAAGACATGAGACACACTCACCTCATGATGAATGAAGACATGAGACACTCACCTCATGATGAATGAAGCAGCATGGAAGACATAGCAGGGAATCCCTTACACACACTCCTGGTCGTAGTGGATATCAAGGCTAGCCAGTCCTCACACACTCACAACCCCTCATGGGTCCAATTACAACAATTTCTCCCTAAACTGGTCAACTGACAATCACAACAACTCCTCACGTGAATGGTTATTGACGTCAAAGTAAAAAGATAATATGTTATATCAACACGACACTGGTATGGAAGCGTCCGCTCCCACTGGCTTTACAAGCAGCACTCAACCGCACTGGCTGGCATGGACCTGCCTCCTATGTTCAGTTGCCTAGTTCACTATTATCTACCAATATCCACCTCCCTCCACCGCCACCAGTTGCCTAGTTCACTATTATCTACCAATATCCACCTCCCTCCACCGCCACCAGTTGCCTAGTTCACTATTATCTACCAATATCCAGGTCCCTTCACTGCTACCAGTTGTCTAGTTCACTATTATCTATCGATATCCAGCCCCCCTCCACCGCTACCAGTTGTCTAGTTCACTATTATCTACCAATATCCAGCTCCCACCACCGCTACCAGTTGTCTAGTTCACTATTATCTACCAATATCCACCTCCCTCCACCGCCACCAGTTCTCTAGTTCACTATTATCTACCAATATCCAGCTCCCACCACCGCTACCAGTTGCCTAGTTCACTATTATCTACCAATATCCAGCTCCCACCACCGCTACCAGTTGCCTAGTTCACTATTATCTACCAATATCCAGCCCCCCTCCACCGCTACCAGTTGTCTAGTTCACTATTATCTACCAATATCCAGCTCCCACCACCGCTACCAGTTGCCTAGTTCACTATTATCTACCAATATCCAGCTCCCCAACCGCCACCAGTTGTCTAGCTCACTATTATCTACCAGCATCCAGTCCCCTACCACCAATAATAATTTTACAAATCCTGTTTAGATAGCACCTATTGTGGCGATCTTTCAATTGTCAGAATTCGTATTTAGCTTTTAGATAGTCGTATACCGACTAGTCGGGAATTCTTTTAAAATAAATGAAGCAAAAACACAAACTTAAATATTCCTAGACCTAGTATAGCATATATATGTTAGGCCTCATATGTCGTGTATTAGGCCTAGGGAGGTTAGGATAGGTTGTTCGGTTTGAGAAACTCAATAGTTCAGATTTCTACGTTCTAAGTTTGTTGTAGGTGGGTATATACACTATATATAGTGTATATACACTATATATAGTGTATATATCGTCCTCATCATTACTATAATTACTTCCACAACAGGAGTATGGGAAGGGAATTATCGGGAGAGAGCGCCAAGCCATTACGACTATATAGCACTTGGAAGGGGTCAGGATAAGGATTTGAGAAGAGGAGGATGGGCTGAATATGAAAGGCAGCCTAGCGGATGGCCATCCTGCCTCGTGGCTCGGACAAACTACTGAAATACGCATTTAACAACTGTTGTGGCAGCTGCATGAACTTATCTCTTTATTTCTTCCTGATATGACAACAGCTTGTGTCTATTTTGGAACCCATCCTACAAAAATGGTAGTACTTAAAGCAAGTATTGGTGATACGTACTAAAAGTGACTTTTGTTTACCCACAGAAGACTCACTTTTGTGCTACTGATATAGCACACAGAGTATGTCAAAAGCTCCACCAGTAACTGTACTGTTATCATTGTCTATCTATAGCTATGTATGCAACTATAAGCCTATTCTCCTCGATCTTAAACCTACTTTAGTACACGTTAGGCGTTGACTTCGCTCTGATGCTCTCTGCAAAATTAATGGGATAAATTGGTTATTTTTGTGTGTGTGTCTATTTTTGTACTTTCAACCCATGGTTGTTATAAATATCATTGATTTTGGGTGATAGATTGTTATTATATCATATAATCTATGTGCTTATCATGCCTCGCATTCCGTCAACTCGTCCTCCTACTAGAGCGTTGCATTTTTTACGTTTACTTCACATAAGGCCAAAAAAATCGTCGTACTAGAAAATGGAAGCGGCTGGCGAAATTGACGTACTGTCCCGTTTTCTGTTTTTGGTCCTCTGGTAGGTTGATAAATGGGTACTTTAGTACGACATTTTCTTGATGTTGGGAAAACCTTCGTAGGATAGGCTGGATATAAGCCTAGCTTGTATAAATACACTCTGCCTGCCTGTCCCCGACACCATTAATTATGAGGGGGAGGGAGGGGGTGATATTATTCAGGACCCAGATTCACGAAGCAGTTACGCAAGTAATTACGAACGTGTACATCTTTCCTCAATCTTTGACGGCTTTGTTTACATTTATTAAACAGTTTACAAGCATGAAAACTTCCCAATCAACTGTTGTTATTGTTATAAACAGCCTCCTGGTGCTTCGGAGCTCATTAACTGTTTTATAATTGTAAACAAAGCCGCCAAAGATTGAGAAAAGATGTACAAGCTCGTAAGTGCTTGTGTAAATGCTTCGTGAATCTGGCCCCAGGTTCCTTGCTAATCGATATCCTCGCTTGGGCAACTATTTTGTTTTTCTTTCTTAAACATCACGCAATATAAAGATCATTGTGTGACTATTGCCCCTCCACAGGATACAATCCAACATAGTTCTCTAACACCTGTCTACTGTCGGGTAGACAGGGATACTTGAGGTACAGATACGTGCTTCACTATCTCGCTTTGCATTGTAATTCTTACAATTTCAATTGTAATTGTATTTGTCACTATCTCGTCTTGGATTGTAAGTCAGGTGATTAACAGAGAAATTTGAGATGGTGTGGTAGTGGGTGTGGTGTGAGCATAGTATGAGGGGTGTGGTAATGGGTGTGGTGTGAGCATAGTATGAGGGGTGTGGTAGTGGGTGTGGTGTGAGCATAGTATGAGGGGTGTGGTAATGGGTGTGGTGTGAGCATAGTATGAGGGGTGTGGTGGTGGGTGTGGTGTGAGCACAGTATGAGGGGTGTGGTAGTGGGTGTGGTGTGAGCACAGTATGAGGGGTGTGGTGGTGGGTGTGGTGTGAGCACAGTATGAGGAGTGTGGTAGTGGGTGTGGTGTGAGCACAGTATGAGGGGTGTGGTAGTGGGTGTGGTGTGAGCACAGTATGAGGGGTGTGGTGGTGGGTGTGGTGTGAGCACAGTATGAGGAGTGTGGTAGTGGGTGTGGTGTGAGCACAGTATGAGGGGTGTGGTAGTGGGTGTGGTGTGAGCACAGTATGAGGGGTGTGGTAGTGGGTGTGGTGTGAGCACAGTATGAGGAGTGTGGTAGTGGGTGTGGTGTGAGCACAGTATGAGGGGTGTGGTAGTGGGTGTGGTGTGAGCACAGTATGAGGAGTGTGGTAGTGGGTGTGGTGTGAGCATAGTATGAAGGGTGTGGTAGTGGGTGTGGTGTGAGCACAGTATGAGGAGTGTGGTAGTGGGTGTGGTGTGAGCATAGTATGAAGGGTGTGGTAGTGGGTGTGGTGTGAGCACAGTATGAGGAGTGTGGTAGTGGGTGTGGTGTGAGCATAGTATGAAGGGTGTGGTAGTGGGTGTGGTGTGAGCACAGTATGAGGAGTGTGGTAGTGGGTGTGGTGTGAGCACAGTATGAGGAGTGTGGTAGTGGGTGTGGTGTGAGCACAGTATGAGGAGTGTGGTAGTGGGTGTGGTGTGAGCATAGTATGAAGGGTGTGGTAGTGGGTGTGGTGTGAGCACAGTATGAGGGGTGTGGTAGTGGGTGTGGTGTGAGCATAGTATGAAGGGTGTGGTAGTGGGTGTGGTGTGAGCACAGTATGAGGAGTGTGGTAGTGGGTGTGGTGTGAGCACAGTATGAGGAGTGTGGTAGTGGGTGTGGTGTGAGCACAGTATGAGGGGTGTGGTAGTGGGTGTGGTGTGAGCACAGTATGAGGAGTGTGGTAGTGGGTGTGGTGTGAGCATAGTATGAAGGGTGTGGTAGTGGGTGTGGTGTGAGCACAGAATGAAGGGTGTGGTAGTGGGTGTGGTGTGAGCACAGAATGAAGGGTGTGGTAGTGGGTGTGGTGTTGACATTCACACACAGGTTCCAATACCCTGTGTGAGGGGTTTATGTCACTTATTTATGACATGGTACTGACCTCTTAGTGATTTATTGTTTCTCGTATTTCAAAAAAACTATATTTTATGCTCACGGTTTTACTATTAAATGTGTTAAATTGCTAATAATTTTCAGTTGTTTCGTCCACAAGGATAATATATATATATATATATATAATGTTAGTAGGCTCTTGTGTATTACATAATCCCCAGGCTACATCTTCCTTCCCAGATAAGAACTGCCATTTCTCGAGGTGAAGGGCCTGAAGGAGGCATATATAGGCTGTGAAGGAGGCATATATATATATATATATAGGCTGTGAAGGTGCCAGAGAGGAACCAGTTGACTGAGACACGTGGTGAGAGGAGCACTGCGGCAGCCGGCTCCTGGAATTACCGCCACACACACCAGACACCGTGACAGTGAGTATAGTGATGGTCTCTAATCCACGTGTTGTGTGACCAGGTGTGTGTGGAAGACAGGTGTTTGAGGAACCGGTGTTGTCACGTGATCAAACACCGGCTGCTATAGGCCTTGCCAACTGTCAGCAAAGCAAGTAACTTACTTCTTCCTCAACGTGTCTGTTGATCCACTGCTTACAAGTTTAAGTCTCATCAAAACACTGACTTCAACAGAATGTTCACAAGCTGTGAAATATTATTATTGTTCCTTATTATGAACGTTTTACTTGCAGTCTTTCCGGTACCAAATTGTCAATGATCGATTAGTGGTCTGGAACGTTTTCTGTTCTTCCCTAAAGTCAGTTCTCCTTTACTCCTCTGCTTCTCGCGAGGGGAAACTTGCATTAGAAACCTAAAGTCTAACCAATTTATACTCTCTTCACATTGTGGATTAAATCATTTTTAAATCATTAAATCAGCATATCATTTTAATTTCCAATTGATATCTTTTGAAGTTTTCAGCATATCATTTTAATTTCCAATTGATATCTTTTGAAGTTTTCAGTAGGCGTGTATATTAATTATGTCAAGTTTCGACTTACTGCTGTTATTGCATGCTTCAGTCACGTCTTTTTCATTTAATTGCAAAAAACTGCCTCTTTTAACCTTGTAACTTGGGTTGTAAAATGTGTGTTATTGACGTTCCGAAAAATATACCTATTAATCCCCAAGATCTGTACTTATCACATTGTACTTTCCTGTGTAAATAAATATATAAATAGTTAAATAAATAATGGCTGATTACAGATTGCCATGGCAGTCTAGTATACAAGAGAGGGTTGGAGGTGGGAGAGGTAGTCTACACGGGAAGATGAGAGGTAGGAAGGACTACCAGAGATGAGAATGAGTGCATGAGAAGGAAAAAAATGGGGGGTAAAGAAATGGTAATCTGGAGTAAGCGCAATACGAGAGGGCCCCGTTGTATAGAGTGACAGTTAGGCCTACTGAAAGCTAGTCATGATCATTTCATTCCCTTTATACACTGCACATGCACAACCTGTTCTCAGATTAGGCAAAATTGTAATTAATTTTGTCAATAAAGATGTTAATAATAATAATACTGAAAGCTACCTGCCAGCTTCTGTACATCACATAGCAAATCATTTAAACGTCCATGACTGATTAACACTACACAAATACTTTACATTATGTACAATATACATTTGTTCATAATTTTATGTTTTTGGGAGGAGGGGCGTTATTAAAATTTAAAAAAATTAAGGTAAATTTTCTTTTTTTTTCCAGATGGAAACCAACAGAGACCGTAGGCTTTCATAATGGTGAGAATAACAAGTACATGGAGGATCTTACTACTGTAGAAACTTGCTTAACTTGATCAACTCAAGTTTCTGAGTCCGTGGCGGAAAGAATGCGAGAAAGCACTCAAAAGATACCAATGTATAGAAAACACACGTTGAGAATATGTTATTGATATAAAAATACTGTTTATGAAAATATATGTTATTAAGACAAGTGAGTAGAGAGAGTTTTGTATAACAAATACATTCTTGGGAGTTACTGGCGAAGGAGCAGTTCACGACCAAACTAAGATGAACGTGACGACGCTGTTGTGGACCTTGGTGCTGGTAGTGCTGACTGTGCTCAAGGTCGCCATCACCATCGTAGTCACTACCATCAAGACCATTCTAGTCAAAAACGACTGGTTATGGACCCAAGGTTGGAACATGGTAGCGTCCTTCGGCCAGAGGGTCGTGGGCTTGGTGGTGGAGGGCGCGAACTTGGGTCTGGGCAACATGATGGCCACTCTTCTCCATGACCTTACCGCCTTCGTCTCCGGTGTGTTCGGCGTGGTGGTGGCGGTACTCTCCAAGCTCATGACTCTCACATTCTGGTTCGTCAAGTACCTAGTCAATCACTGCAAGGACATGCCCAACACCCATCTCAAGAATAATATCACTGAGGAGAAGGCCATTACTCTTCACGACCTCAGCTAGTCGACGACCATCACGACTATGGCGGGTCCACGAGATTAGCATGCGAAATGGATGTAATTCGTCAACGACTGAAGCTTTTCATGGCATTAAGCAGTCGAAGATATCATATGGCGATGGATTTGAACAGTTTGCCATTGTCAATTTGTCCACAACCTCTGCAAATCGACTTTACGAAGACGTCCTTAAGAATACGACCACCAAAGCCCTCCCTCATCTGCACCTCCAGTAACGGACATTCCCAGCTACCTTAAGATTTTACATGTCATTAATCTCTGTTCACCCGACTACCTCATATGAATATCGTCAGGCACCACGATCATTCCCCTCCCTTGGCACCCGTTCTGTTTTTCAAATTTAAACAAGAGATTCAATGGTTTCGTTCAGTGTAACAATATTTTAAGTCAACTTTTGATGGACATCGTGCAGTGTTGTATGTTTCTTCTGTATACAACTGTTGTGAATCTGGTTATCTTTATATGATGTATACAGTGAAATTAATGTCTTGGCAAGTCTTATAATATTTGAAAGATACACCATTTGTCCAGATAGCGGGTTGAAGTGTAAATATTGGTCGGTGAAAGTCAATTAACATCACGCATTTGGGAATCGGGAGTCATTACTTCACTTCAGCTTTTTATATAATATAGTATCTAGGTTTGTATTTATATTAATTATCGCCAACAAATTTGCTAGTTGTCTAGTAATGAATCCAATATATCACACTATATAAACAGCGAACTATGATACGAATTAGTTTAACAAAGCATTTGATAAAGAAATGCTAGGCATCACATGACATAGCAAGGCTTAGCGTCTTGTCCAGGAAAGATCTGAATTTATAATGTCAAAAGAAACTACATAAAAATTAATGTCGCAAAAGCTTTCTTTCGAAAGAGTATTACGTGATTTTCACAAGGTACCAATTAAAGGTTAGGCTAACAGGTATGGCCAAATTGTAAGTTGAATGTACACTAGCATATATTTATTATCAAGCTCATTAAACACGTTTATTATATTGTTCATGAAACCATGCATGACTTCCTGCCCAACTTGTCAAGAAATAATGTATTTATAGGTGTTCGTGCTTCCCCTTTAGTGCCTTCACTGTCTATTAGGCGAGGAGCAAGCGTCGACCACTGCTCTCTCCCATATTAACCAATTCCCTCTTAACAACAATATAAATTTAGCATCGCTAGCAAACGTCTGCCCAAAGACGGGAAATCGGAACTATCACGCCGCCATTTTGAACAAATCGCTCGGTTAATTTAAGTCACTTTACGTGGATTTTGCGTGAATATACTGTGCTTCTAATGTGAGCTGAAAGCTGTTTATGGCTGTGAATGGGCACCACAGCAAACAATTGTGATTTTAGACCTAAAGTTGCGTACTGATAGGCTGTGGGGGATTACAATACTCATATAGTATAATCATATTAGGCTGTGATACTTATCTTAGAATTGTTCGCTATTTGGTAATACAGATAACACTCATTCGTTCTTCACTAACAGGGTAAAGCAAATACTGGATTGCATCACATTATGTATCCGTCTTATTTTCTGCTTAAGAAAACCCCAAGAAGAGAAATATTTAATGTACAATTTGTTAGTTTAGTTGCGTGTGATTTGCCTGTCATGGGCAATGTTAATTTTTCGAAGCCTCTTCTTTTTTAATTCCTTGTTAAATATCAGCTGTAAATTTAATTAGCTGTTAAATATCAGTCACTATAATATATATATATATATGTATATATATATATATATATATATATATATATATATATATATATATATATATATATATATATATATATATATATATATATATATATATATATATATATATATATATGACAATGTCAGACCACGGAGGAAAAATGAAACAGGAATTTCCTTAAGTACTTTCGTATATTAAATACATCTTCAGAAGGAATGAGGTATTTAATATACGAAAGTACTTAAGGAAATTCCTGTTTCATTTTTCCTCCGTGGTCTGACATTGTCATATATATATATATATATATATATATATATATATATATATATATATATATATATATATATATATATATATATATATATGTTGTAGCTATGTGTAACTTGGTATATATATTCTGACGAATATTTTGTTTTAATAAACTTATCATTGATTAACGATGATACAAATGTATGTGTTTTATTTTATCACTGCTGAGAAATGCCTGTTCATTTTAATCCATTGTAGTATCAGCGATCTCAACGGTTTATTAAGCCAATAATACACACACACAAGCCACAGATGATATGTGGTTTTGCATTTTGGATTGAACAGAATGCCATGAACCTAAATCCAAACAAAGCGCAGCTCTCCTAGAACCTGTATTCAAACATAGCGCAGCGCCCTATAAACCCAAAAGGCCTACAGTTAATATAGAAAATTAAATTGAAAAGACCTATTACGTAACTTTTTACCTAATAATGTAAAATATTTAGGGAACACTGTAACTGCAGTATATAATGTCTTATAAGAATACATCACAACCATGTTTGTCACAGGTTATATTTAGTTAAATTTATGATAAATTACACTACAACTCATTAACTAATACCAGAACAAGGCCACTTAGACGAAGCTATACCTCCTTATACCAGTATCAGGCCACTTAGACGAGGCTATACCTCCTTATACCAGTACCAGGCCGCTTAGATCAAGCTATGCTTCCTAATACCAGTACTAGGCCGCTTAGATCAAGCTATGCTTCCTAATACCAGTACCAGGTAACTTAGACGAGGCTAGACTTCCTAAGCGTTCACCAGAGAACACAAACACACACACCCACACCAAACTTGCTCTGCAAAATGGCAGAAAGGTATTCATGAAACCTGGAAGTGGGCGTTGGGATATCACCTCACAAACGTCCCTCTCTCTCTCTATAGCGTTGTGGTGTCATCTCACAAACGTCCCTCTCTCTCTATAGCGTTGGGATATCACTTCACAAACGCCCCCCTCTCTCTCTTTATAGCGTTGGGATATCACCTCACAAACGCCCCTCTCTCTCTCTCTCTTTATAGCGTTGGGATATCACCTCACAAACACCCCCCTCTCTCTCTCTATAGCGTTGTGGTGTCGCCTCACAAACGTCCCTCTCTCTCTCTATAGCGTTGTGGTGTCACCTCACAAACGCCCCTCTCTCTCCAGCACCCTCTCTATAAATAGTTATACTGTAGTTTTATAATATAATTTAATTTTAGTTAATAAATATATGCCGCCTCTTATGATAGCCTAGTAATGGCGTTTTATTGTCTTTAAAATTTGTAAAATTTGTTTTCTTAGAATTTATTACAATATCACTGTTTAATGAATCAAGTTTTGTTGGGTAATTGTCTAAATAAATGGCAGGAACTATTTAAAACAAGCAGACTGATGTATTTTATATATTTCTCAGTGCACTTGTGGTAAATTGAACACGTCTGCGTTAGTAGGCTTTCATAAGAGACTTGAAATACCTAACACCGTCATATATCTTATTAAATTGTTAATAAGAACTTATTGCCTTGATCGCTTCTTCAGTATAATATTAATAACGTTTCCATTGAAATGTCTCCAGGAAACCCAAGTCGATTGGTATCCTTATCTCCAGAGGTTCCGGTCATATTGATTTTTCCCTCTCCAAGTAATGTAGCGTGGCTTCCACACTGCACACAACACCTCCTTCATATCACGTCCAAGGAACATGTACTTCTTGAGGAGCACAGGAGTGATATATGGCAGTAGAGGAGGGCCAAGGAGGAGTGTGGTGAGGTGGTGAGGGCGGCGGCGTGAGGCGCGTGTGTGGTGATGATGATGGCTGGTGTAGCAGACGATATACTCGCCAGTGCCAGCAGCGACGTCAGGCGGGATGGTGCACCAAGTAAGACGTCGTCGCCACCTTCACCTACCTCTCGCCCACCTTCCCCCTCCCTCTGGCACTCCTACAGCTTGTTGTCTGGCCGGCGGCGCCCTACAGCATGGCACGCGGACCTGTGTGTGTCCCCCCACCACACACACACGCCACCCTCGCCAAGAATTAAGTGTACCGTGGCTGGAAAATGTTAAATTGGATTGTGTGTGTGTATACGTCAATCATGAATCATGTGAATCCTCTTGATAAAGGCAGTGTTTGCTGTGTCTTATATGTGAAGTGATATATGATTTAACCGCGTGTTCCATCCTTGTCTCCGGCCAGACATCAAGTGAGTGGGCTCAGGCTAGTTATCCGTCCCTCTCTCCGCTCCTCCTTCTCCTCCATAACCCGCGAATGGCTTAGTTATCTAATATTAGCGTGATATCTGGATGAGCATCACGGTAAACTCATCCCGTGAGAGTATAATGCTTAATAGCATCTTGAGGCTGAGATGGCCCCGGGCCGCCAGCCAGTCAGCTGTGTTGTGTTGACATTCTGGGGTTTGTTGACGTTTGGTGTCACGTCACCTGTGATGGTGCCACACCTGTGATGGTGCCACACCTGTGATGGTGCCACACCTGTGATGGTGCCACACCTGTGATGGTGCCACACCTGTGATGGTGATAAACGTTGCCTGTGATGGTGATAAACGTTGCTTGTGATGGTGCCACGCATCACCTGTAATGGTGCCACACATCACCTGTAATGGTGCCACACGTTGCCTGTGATGGTGTCACACGTTGCCTGTGATGGCACCACACGTCACCAGTGATGGCAGCACACGTCACCAGTGATGGCAGCACACGTCACCAGTGACGGCAGCACACGTCACCAGTGATGGCACCACACGTCACCAGTGATGGCACCACACGTCACCAGTGATGGCACCAGGCACAGGTGCTAGAGGTGATGGTGAACCATGTGGCTTACCAACACCTCTAGGTGTGGGTAGTCTCGAGGGCCTAACCAACACCCTCGCACCCAATATCTTACACACGCTCCTGCTGATGTATGCAAATAATGTTATGGTCCACTTTGGCATGTTGGAGGAACACCCACTCGCTTTGTCTCTCGTTACCTCCCTCCCCCTCTCTCTCTCTCACCACCTCCCTCCCTCTCTCTCTCCCCCTCTCTCTCACCACCTCTCTCCCTCTCTCTCTCACCACCTCCCTCCCTCTCTCTCTCCCTCTCTCTCACCACCTCTCTCCCTCTCTCTCACCACCTCCCTCCCTCTCTCTCACCACCTCCCTCCCTCTCTCTCTCCCTCTCTCTCACCACCTCCCTCCTTCTCTCTCTCCCTCTCTCTCTCTCTCCCTCTCTCTCACCACCTCTCTCCCTCTCACTCTTTCTCACCACCTTCCTCCCTCTCACTCTCTCACCACCTTCCTCCCTCTCACTCTCTCTCGCCACCTTCCTCCCTCTCACTCTCTCACCACCTTCCTCCCTCTCACTCTCTCTCACACCACCTTCCTCCCTCTCACTCTCTCTCACCACCTTCCTCCCTTTCACTCTCTTTCACCACCTTCCTCCCTCTCACTCTCTCTCACACCACCTTCCTCCCTCTCACTCTCTCTCTCACCTACAGCCTGCTCCTCCTGGTGTTACAGTGTGTCCTCTGCTGTAACAGCTTGCCCAACCCCTACAACCTGCCCAATCACTTGGGCTGGACGGTAGAGCGACGGTCTCGCTTCATGCAAGTCAGCGTTCAATCCCCGAGCGTCCAAGCGGTTGGGCACCATTCCGTTACCATCCCTGGCCGTAGCAAGGAGTGCCCCGGTGTAACGAGTGCCACCGTCCGCTGTGTGTTACAGGTCATCTACGGGCTGAGAGGATGGATCGCCTTCGTGGCTTTTATAGACCTGGGTATGGCGGTACAGTGCTTCCTGGACGCCGACTCCTTCCTCGGCTCCCAGCTCTACACGGCAGGGGACATTGCGCAGCATGGTGAGTACACCTCGTCACCCACGCCCGCACACGCCCACACACACACACACACACACTCACGCCCACACAAACACACACACCTTCCATTAATGTCCATTAAGTGCCACATGGCCCCCGCCTCTATGTTACTCATCAACGCGGTGAGTCACCGGCACTCACCTCACTGACTCCATTATTCACTACCCTATGTCATTCATCATTCATCACAGTATAAGAAACAAGTGCAGGTATACACCCCCCACCCCACCCGGGAAGGGGGTTGGTGGTGGCAGAGGGGGTGGGTTTGTTGTGGTGGTAGGGGGTGATGGTGGTAGGGGGTGATGGTGGTAGGGGGTGATGGTGGTAGGGGGTGATTGTGGTAGGGGGTGGTGGTGGTGGGGAACAAGCAAGGAGTGTGGGAAGCACTTATCTTCTAAGTGGCAGGATGGAGGATAGATAAGGGAGGGGGAGCTGCACCTCTTACTATCCACTTTAAGGGTTTACAACCCTTCTTGGTTTACAATCGAGGAACTCAAATTAGTTTACATGTTTTTAATTGTTTTAATATACATCATTCCTCTCTGGCCTAAACAAATATGTAACGACACACAACTTATTAAAAACATATTTATTTTCTGCACTTCAAAAACAAATTTATTTCGAGAACTACAATTTCATATTTTTAAATATAATCATATTTGAAAATAATTTCACTAATCAATTTAAAAAATATATAAATAAATCATCAAATATTACATATAATATAAAACTGATATAAGGAAAAAATTGCATAGCACACAAGCAATGGAAGAAGCCTCATAGTACGAGACTAAACTCCTGTTAATTCACGCTAAGTAACTCCTATGTACTCCTAGGCTCTCTAACCTTAGCATGAAACAATCTAACGACCCTACAGCTATCATGTCACTAAGTTGTTTCACAAGTCAACAATATTCCCCCCTCTAAAAACAAAGAAAAATTATTGACCTAGTTGTTCTGTATCAAAATATCTCTAATTTACATCCATATTCGTGTTATATTGAGTATATATTCGTATATCATCCACTCATCCACTTGTATGAGTATACAACATACTCTATGCTCATGTCAGCCCTCATTCTTCGCTTTTCAAGAGAATATAACTTTACCTTTTCATAAGGGAGAAAACTCCATACATATGTAGATATGACAGCTTTCAACCCTTGCTATACAGTGGTCGATTATAGGGCTGAGAGGTGGGACTCAGGAGCTGTAGCTCTCCCTGCCCCTGTCTTCCCGGCAGATGCAACTAGGTGAGAACATCTGTTCTCACCTAGTTGCATTAGTTCCGTTACAGAACATCTGTACTGCCCCACTCACCTCAACGCCCAACACAAGGGGGAGAAGAGGTGGTTGACTCGGATGTCTTGTATCTGGATTAAAACAATGAAAACAGATGGATTGACAGCTGTTGACAGTTGGCGGGAGTGCAGGAGGCGGACAGACAGAGAGACAGACAGACAAAGCGTATTGTGGGAAATATTGGAAGCTAGAATGACCAGGAAAATCACAACACACCACTGAAGCCTTTTTCCACAACAACTTCGCTGCATTCCGTAGATGGAGTTTGAAATCTTATTGTGGTGTTTGTGATAGCGAAAGTATTCTCAAGAAGCTGTATTGGAAGAGAGAAATTGTGAGTAGAATTCAAGAGGCCTTCGGAACACCTGCCCGTCTGGGGATCCCTAGGACGCAAACTTCACGACTGCGACAGAAATATTTAGGAATTCATTTTTGATTCACGGTGATTTTGGCCATAATATGGAGCCCCTCTGCTGCAGGCCTACCCAGGATATATGGGGAAAGCCCAGATATTCCCCATATATCCTTGGGAATATATAGGGAAGCCCACATACCCCCATATATCCTGGGGAATGCAGGCGATGAGTCACATTAACGTGGATAAAGTAACTTGACCAGACCACACTAGAAGGTGAAGGGACGACGACGTTTCGGTCCGTCCTGGACCATTCTCAAGTCAAGTCGATTCACAATCGACTTGAGAATGGTCCAGGACAGACCGAAACGTCGTCGTCCCTTCACCTTCTAGTGTGTGGTCTAGTCAACATCCTGGGGAATATATGGGGAATCCGCCCACTGCACCCACATTCAGTGAACGCCATGTTTTTTTTCCCCAGAGGGGCTTTATTACGAACATTATTTTGAAGTTCGTAAGAGTTCTCCTTCCGCATGATTCAGGAAAGGCTACGTGTGGACTTTTTAAGGGAATTTGTTGTACTAGTTGACCTGCGTGTCACCAGAGGTCATTAGTACCTCTCCATTGACCAGAGTGAGGGTGACATTGTACCTACCATCCCTTGTCCAATCACATTACTGGCTCAAATGGACTCTGACCAATGGCATGCGTGTGTCAGAGCTACCGCGATACCTGAGGGCTCTTAACCATGAGAGCTCATGTGTTGCTCTCACACAAGATGGCGGCACAATAACGTTTATCGTTTATATCTCTTTCTGTCGCATATATATATATATATATATATATATATATATATATATATTTATATATATATATATATATATATATATATATATATATATATATATATATATATATATATATATATATATATATATATATATATATATGCAGGCGATGAGTCACAATAACGTGGCTGAAGTATGTTGACCAGACCACACACTAGAAATTGAAGGGACGACGACGTTTCGGTCCGTCCTGGACCATTCTCAAGTCGATTGTCGATTCTCACAATCGACTTGAGAATGGTCCAGGACGGACCGAAACGTCGTCGTCCCTTCAATTTCTAGTGTGTGGTCTGGTCAATATATATATATAATTTTAGGCCTTGTAATTGTTTCTCTGATAATTACACATTTGCTCAGAGGGTGTGTTGAGTTAGGAGTTCCTTGGGGGGGCAAGAAAGATGGCGAACCTTTACAAATATAGTCATAGTTCCCCCTTCAAGTGAAGGAACTTAGAACTTTCAGGGGGAAAGTGCCAAGCCATTATGACTATATAGCACTTGGAAGGTGTCAGGATAAGGATTTGGGATGGGACGGGAGAAAGGAATGATCACTTCAACTGAAGGAGAGAGCATTTTAAGAAAGGTAAGGTATTCACTAATAAGATCAGACGGTTTACCTGGCCCAGGTGAGGACGAGGTCAAGATGATAACGTTCCTTAGCACTTGTGCAAGTGCTTCAGGGATCTGCAATGTTTCTAATGTTTGTTGAGGGCGATACTGAATGTTTCTCCGATTGTCTGAGTGTACCCATGACACCTCTTCTCTTCACTGGCTCTGTTCCGCATTTCCTGCTGCATCTTTCGCTCCAGTATGTTGTTATTCCCCTGTGTAAATTTGGGACCTGGCCCTCCAGTATCTCCCATGTATATATTAGTTGATACCTCTCTCGTCTCCTTTCCAGAGAGTACATTTTAACAGCTTTCTCTAAGTGTGCCGTATATGGTCTCTGTATTCCCTCTGTTTCAGGAATCTCTCCAGTTTTGAAATGGGAAGGGAGTACCGAGCAGTACTCACAATTGACGGGGACTCGGTACATTCTGGCTCCTTCTTCATATTACACTGAGCGCTTCTGGTACTTTATATTTCTTAATAAATGTGGAATTCCAGGAGTCTGGACCAGGGGGACGGAGTGCATGGGCATGTTGTTAACGTCTCTTTCAGCGTCTGTTAGAGACGTGTTGTGTGCTGGGGAAGACGACCATAGCTACAAGATAAGTAGGTACTTCAAGCTTTGTACTTTGTACTTCAACCCGGGTACTTTGCAAACGTCAAAGCCAGAGGTACCTGAGCCACGTACCTGTGTTCTGTTGGGTGCCAAGGGCCGGCTCGGTCAAGCTTCCAGGCTTCCTCACACAAAGGGAAGCCAAAATGTATATATTCCATTATTATGTGTGTTCTGTGTGGGGGTGGAGTTGTGGGGGATGGAATATAGGGAGGGAGGGAGAGATTGGGAGAAGCAATAACTTAGGGAGTGAAAGGGGTGGGAGAAGAAAACGGGTGTACGTTTTAAGGGTCACCGTGGGAGGACCGGGCCTAGGGGAGGTCGGGGTTCGATGCCTCCCAGCGGAGTGGTCACATTGATAATATTTCACCCGTTGATGTTTGTGTCTGTCCTCACGTGCCCCTGGGAGTGGGGGGGGGGTCCCTTCACCTGGCCCTGGAGGGCGCCCCCTCCTCACCTGGTCCAGTTGGGGGGGGGGGGGGGGAGGGGCAGAAGGGCAAGGAGAGAAAGTGTAAGGAAATTGTTACCAGGTGAGCGCGTGGTGAACCAGGTGAGCGCGGGGTGAGCCACGCCGGAACTGGCGTCCCGGTGACACCTTAGGCAGGTATAATTAGTGCCAGGGAGGGGGGGGGGTGAGTGCCAGGTAGGTGATGTCAGCCAGTGAACCCTCTCTCTCTCTCTCTGTCTGTCTCTCTGTCTCTCTCTCTCTCTCTCTCTCTCTCTCTCTCTCTCTCTCTCTCTCTCTCTCTCTCTCTCTCTCTCTCTCTCTCTCTCTCTCTCTCTCTCTCTCTCTCTCTCTCTCTCTCTCTCTAGTCTCTGTCTCTCTGTCTCTCTCTCTCTCTCTCTCTCTCTCTCTCTCTCTCTCTCTCTCTCTCTCTCTCTCTCTCTCTCTCTCTCTCTCTCTCTCTCTCTCTGTCTCTCTCTCTCTCTCTCTCTCTCTCTCTCTCTCTCTCTCTCTCTCTCTCTCTCTCTCTCTCTCTCTCTCTCTCTCTCTCTCTCTCTCTCTCTCTCTCTCTCTCTCTCTCTCTCTCTCTCCTCTCTCTCTCTCTCTCTCTCTCTCTCTCTCTCTCTCTCTCTCTCTCTCTCTCTCTCTCTCTCTCTCTCTCTCTCTCTCTCTCTCTCTCTCTCTCTCTCTCTCTGTACACAGGTGGGCTGAGGAGCAGGCGAATTGTGACGCTTGTTATCAGAGGCTGAGAGCTCGCCATACTTCATGGTAAGTGGTGTAATTTACCACTCCCCCCCTACCCCCCCCTGGC